AGCCATTGAAGATACAACATGCATCTTTTCCTTCAGCATGTATTACTAAAGAGTTTTTGTACATTTCTGTTTATTCTATGCTACTGGTATGTGTGTCAAATATTTTCTAATAGTATGCTATTTGGTGTAGCATTGCTTTTTAGTATGCATTTTTTAAGGATTCATTTATTTTTATTGGCAAGTCACGTTTACAGAGAGAAGAGACAGAGAAAAAAAATCTTCCATCTGCTGGTTCACTCCCCAAGTGGACACAACAGCCAGAGCTGAGCTGATCCAAAGCCAGGAGCCAGGAGCTTCTTCTGGGTCTCCTACAGGGGTGTAGGATCCCAGTGCTCTGGGCTATCCTCCACTGCTTCCCTAGGACACAAACAGGGAGCTGGAAAGGAAGTGAAGCAGATAAGATTTGAACTGGTGACCACATGGGATTCTGACTCTTGTAAGACGAGGAATTTAGCCACTAGGCTGTAGTGTCAGTCCCAGCTTTTTAGCATATTTTGAATTGAGATAGTGTTATATCTCTAGCTTTGTTGTTGAACAGAAGATTGCCTTGACTGTTTGGGGTCTTTGGTGGTTTCATATAAATTTTTGACTGTTTTCTCTATTCCTGTGAAGAATGTCATTGCTACGTCCATAAGAACTGTCTGAATCTTCAAATCATTCTGAATAGTATGAACTGTTTAACAACATTAATTCTTCCAGTCTACACAGGATATCCTCCCATTTAGTTGTGTTCCCTTCAACTTGTTTCACTGATACTTTAGTTTTCATTACAGAGATTTTACATTTCCAGGATGTTACTTATTTTTTTGTTGCTAATGTAAATAGCAGTGCTTTCTTGATGGTTTTTTTTTTTTCATATAATTTGTGACTGGCAAATAAACACTACACAATGAAATACAGTTCAGACATTTAAAAAGAGAATAGAATTCTGTAATTTTGGGCAACACAGATAAACCTCTTGAATTAAAGAAACCAAGCACAGAAAGACAAATATCACATTATCTAGCACATTTGTTAAATATAAAAAGCTGACCTCGTCCCTATGCAGTAGATGAGTGGTTACCAGAGGCCAGCGAGTGTAGGAGGGAGGAATAATGGGTACAAATGGATCAATTTGTATAAAATTAAAGTTAAGAATAAAACTTTGTATGCTACAGGACAATCAGGCCTTTATAGTTAACAATATTGTGAGATATATTTAAAAATAGAGGACTATTCTAAATGCTCTCACAAAAAAAAAATGATAAATGTTTGAAGTGACCAATACGCTGAATAGTATGATTTCATCATTACAAAGTGTGTACACATATTGAAACATCACGCTGTATTTCAAAAATAGATACATACATATCAGTTAAAATAAAAATAAAAATTTTTAAAGGAAAAATAACATACATTGTTGCAACTTCACATCTGCACATAACACTCAAAAGAAATGATTCAGTGTCACAGAGAGACATTTGAGCTCCCATGTTTTTCAATCACTATTCAAATAACTTAGACATGGCAACTGTATTAATTTTCACACATATTAATGTATGAATAAAGAACATAAATATATTACATTAGGAAGGAATAAATCCAGACATTTGTTATGAATCTTAAGGACACTCTTCCTGGTAAAATAAGCCAGACAAAAAATATACATACTGTTTTATCCAAACTTACATATAGAATCTTTAAAAAGTCCAACTTTCGAAAGCAGAAGGTAGAATAATAGCTGCTTAGGCCTGAGGGGTGGGGTAATAGGGAAATGCTGGCCAAAGGACACACATTTCAGTTTTAAGCTGATTAGGTTTGGGGGATCTAATGTACAACATTATCATTATTAATACTGTTTATTATAATGGAATTGTTTATTGGAAATTTTCTGTCAGAGCAAATCTTAAGTGTTTTCACCACATATACCTATGCCATCCTTTGCGGCCTCAATCACACACACACGGTAACTAGGTATTAGTTAAGCAACCTGAGAAAATCTGTTCCTAGTGTATGTGTACATCAAGTCATTGACTGGTGTGCTCCAAAACCAAAACCTCATCAAATCAGTGTGTCGCTGCTACACAGGCTCTTTAAAAGAATCTAAACTCAGCATGAGGCAAACTATAAAAGTAAACTTGCACTACTCATTGCCCTAAATTTACTGATGACAAACAAGCATTACCAGACTGTTGGGGTAAATAAAAAATATATAGCTTTCTGAATGTGGCTGAAGTGGTGACTAAATAATGCTGATGTAAATGGTGGAAAAAAAGACCAAAATGTTTTATATTAATTTCACCTGAATTCCTTGTGTATTCAGTTTTATAATCATTATTGATTATGAAGAGTTGAAACCACATTGTTATTTGTAAAAATGCACTGACTACCAAAACACAGAAATGATTTGACTCATTAGTTATTTACATAAAAAAGTAATTGAGAAACCAGAATTATGTTAAATAATGTATATTGAAAAGCTAACAGAGCTGATGGTTGGTACCTGGCATTAATACTCTGCAGGTTGCCTGTGAAACTACCTTGACTTGCTAAAACTAAAAAATCAAGTGGAATTGCTAAACATTCATGAAAGAAAGACTTATTAAGGAGGTTTTCATGGAAATACATGGCAAAAATGATAATTATTTCCTAGTTATACTACAAGTTGATAAACATGAGCACTAGCTAATGATGAGTGGTGTCAAGTATGGAAAACATAAAAGAGGAATATTTACCATTGTGCTTTAACAAATGTGCAGGTATCACTACATAATTTCTTCAGTACTTGTGTGATTTGAACATCATGTGATAAAATGGTAACTCTTTTTCTCTTACGTTTTCGGTACTGGGCACCACTCATCACTAGCTAGTGCCCATGAAGTGCAAAGCATCCTGTCAATAAATGTGATGTGATTTGAAACTTCAGTTCTGTGTAGGACGATGTTCTTGTAGTAACTTTGCAAAGACCAAAGAGGGAAAGAAAAGGAAAGAAAAAATCATATCAGAAGATAAACCTACATTTATAAAGTCTTGCTATTGATGTAGTACAAATTTAAACACACTTAATTAAAAATTAAATGACCATAAAAATAACAAAGAAGCACAAATGGTACCATTCTTGCAGATTTGTACATCTTTAGAATAACAGTTGAGAAGCAATCTTGAATCACTAGGCCATAGCACATCCTTTCTAGACAGCATGCCCAAGACACTGCCCCATCCGTTCCGCAGCACTCGGACTGGTCTGTGCCCTGCTCAACACCATCAACCCTCTGATCACACTGGGGCTCCATAGCAACACATCAAAGTGCTCTCAAAGTTCCTAAATGCTTACTCTCAATTTCTATTTGTTTGTCTGGTTTCAGATAACAAACAAGTTCTGGTAAATAAAATTCCTAAGAAGAATGCAGAGGAGCATCAGTGAAAGCACTGAGACTGGTGATAGTTCAAGGTTCCATGGAAGGTCAATAAAGAGACAAAGGATGTATTTTCTAGTTCTGAATCACTGTAGCTCATCTAAGTGCACTTAATTGTAAGATATACTGTCATTTTAAGCACCAAATATACTGACTGATGACTGACTATAAGACACATTTCTAAGTTTAAAATGTTCCTTGGAGGACGAAATATGACATTTGTACTTTGTATAGTTTTCACAACACACATAAGAATGAACATAAACAAATAAAAAGATATGATAAATAAAAACTAAACCAACTACAAAATGCATTTTCTGCTAAAAGGAATGAAACAATATTTCTTAAGGAACTCAGAGTCATACTATTTTCAGGATTTTTGAAGATGTCTGTCATTTCTTGGCCACCTAGTTGATTTTCATTATCTGTAATGACAGTTTCTGGAACTTGCTCTTCTTTCTTTCTTAACCATATGGCCCTCAGTTGTCCTGACTGACCCAAGTGGATCGTAACACTCTAAATGACTAGGTCAGAGAAGGGACTGAAACTCACTCAGCAAAGTGAAAAGCCAGGAGATACTGGCACAATCTTCCAAAACAGACAAGGCTCTTGTGTGCTCACGGAAGTAACTTAGACAGTTTCTTTTTCTGCTGGAGTCTGAGGAATGCTAGAACTAGAGCACACATTTTGTGGCCATGGTGCAAGACCATCACTTTGGGGGTACACCTGTATAAAGTCTTGAGAGGGAAGAGGATTTGACACTTGTTCTGGCATCAGCATAACTCTGCAAAATATGCACAACGGGGCAAGTTTTTTTTGCCACCTCTGTTTTCTAATGAATCTTCACATTCCTAGTAAGTCATCATAAGAGCATCTTTTCCCTCAGGGCGTGATCAGTAAGCAAATATTCTACCTCCACGCTTCTATAGCACAAGGAAAGCCTTGTGGGACAAAAGCTTAAATCACATTGCCTAGTTGGTTTAGTCAATTAATAAAGGAAATAACCACGTGTCTGATTCCTGTGTCTGTTTCCTAACTGACTGCAAATTCTGGGGGAAAGTAAATGATTATCAATGATGGGGTGAAACCCAGCAGTAATATTATCAGTATTTTACACATGAGAAAGCCGGACTTGAGAGAGGATAAGTAATTTAGACAGAATCACCATAATCTAAAGTATGTGGCAAAACTGGCAGCCAAACCCTGGCATCTCTCATTAACTCTAAACTCTACATTGTTTCCAGTGTACTCATGTGTATGTTATATTACATTCATTAAACACAGACCCATTTCATCAACATTTACTGGAAAAATTCTGAAATCCATGTGTGCCAATGGAGGGAAAGAAAAGGAAGAGGAATACACATTGACTGTATTCTATAATGGTCCACATCTTGTCCTAAGTCATTTATTTACAGAGAATATGTTAATTCTCACAGTGACCTCTAGAAACCTTCAGCAAAGTCGGTGATGAGCAGGTGTCCAAAGCTTATGTGCTTCGCATCATCAAGTTAATCTGGGAAGCCAATCTTCCCACACTTGCAAGCTCTGAACAGTAGTGTGTTTACAACAGCATAAGCACCTCCGTTTGGGTCACACACTTACAGAGTAGTTCTTTTCGATGGCACAGAACACAACATCCAGACACAGGAACACCCCTGTACGGCCTACACCAGCACTGCAGTGAACAACCAGGGGTCCTGTAAGGTGGCTCTTCCTCACATAACGAACAAATTTTATGAAATACTCTGCTGAGGCAGGGGTGCCATGGTCTGGCCACTTGATGAACTGCATCTGTTTTACAAAGTGCTTAGCTCCTGTCTGTTAGAGAGAGACAAAGAGGTATTCATCAATGCCTTGCAACAGAGATCTCATTCAACTTCTACTATGCCATTGCTGTCACTAATAATGATAATGATAATGGTACCTTGAGTGTAGTGCAAAATAACTATTACCTTAGCGTGTATTTCATGAACAAATACAAGCCAGGTGTTCTAAGCCTCCTAGCAGATGGTCAGGTCAAGAATGAGAAATGGTGACCAACCATATTTAACCAATGTGCACTGTATACGAAGACTGAAATGTCACATGTTGCCCATACACTCATGCAATTATTAACAAACGCATTTTAAAATTAAAAAGGTTCAAGAAGAATTGGATTTTTTAAAAGTTGGGACATCCATATCCTTAAAGGAATGCCTGGTTTTAAGTCCCAGCACCACTCCTAGCATTCTGTTGATGCACACTTAGAAGCAGCAAGTTGGGTCAAGCGGCTGGGTCCTTGCCATCCTCATACCAGCCCCAGAGGTGGCTCCTTGCACCAGCCTGCTCCAGGCCCAGCAGGTGCCAGCATCTGAGGCATGAAGAAACAGCTGGAAGATCTCTCATTCTTTCTGCCTCTCAAATAAAAGGAAAAAAAAAACTTATTAAACAAACTCCATATTATGAAAAAAACATGCAGGGATTTCAAAACTAGTCTTGGAACAAAAATCATAGTTTTGATTCAATCTTCCCCATTTTTTTAAGTACCGTTGGAAGGTATTACACATTGGTACCAAAAAGAGCTTTCAAAAAACAGACAAGCTTCATTCTGATGCTTCTAAGAATTCTGGAAATTTCAGGAATGGAAGTTTTTTCTGCTTTTACAGAGGAACACACAATAACAGCAATAAGAGTAACTAATGAGTAACAAATATTGAACATTACTATGTGTCTGGTGCCTACTACCAGGGACATCACATAAGTGATCTCATCGTCTCCTACATCAACCCTTCATGGGAAGCAGTTTCGCCCTCGTTTTATGAGGGATGGGATAAGGAGGCCTGAAAGACACATGCTTGGTGAGAACAGTCACACGTTTAAAGCTGGAACTGTAACACAGGACTCCTGAATCCTCATCTACAGTTGCAGAAACGTGGATGTTTCAAACCACATAAGAGTAAAAGGTGGGATGGGATCATTATTAATCAGACAAGAGACAACCTATCAGCTTAAATACTGTATAGCACATTTAATCAGAATCGGCAGGTCCCTGACCAGGGAGAGGGCATGAAGAGACTACGGAGTGTGGTTAATGACCAAGATATAGTGATGCCTACTGCTGTGCTGTGACAAAATTATGAAACTCTGCTCTAGTTGACACAGAAAGCATGAATAAACCAAGGAGGACACCACCCTCTCCCAAGTGTGGGAACTTCGGGGGGACGGGAAGCTGACCATAGGTTTCTCCTAAATTCCCTTAATAAAGATGTTGGTGTTCACAACCCTCTTCTTGTGTTAAATAGCTATGGCAATTTATGCTGGTTAATTTTATGGGTCAAGTTGGCAGGGCTCTAGTACCCAGATATTTGAAGATTCCATACATTTCTCTGAAGGTGTTTATTTCTCAGCATTAGGTCTGATAGACTGAGTAAATCAGGTTACCTCCACAATGCTATATCCTGGCCAAGGTTCTACAGCCTTAGCACTGTAATACAGACAGATCACTGCAGTGTCTCCCATTTGACCTATATTCCCCAAATGCACACATCATTTGGAACTGACTTATTCAGTGTCTTTCTTCCCCTGTGATATTTTAAGTACTCGAAGAATTACAAGTGTATCTATCTTCTACCCCCAGGATCACTTTTTAAACTAATCCATATTTCTTCTCTTGGAATAAAAATCCCTCTTCCTTTTGAATTTCATACCTCTTGGCTTCATCTCCATTCTATCACATCATGGCCAAACCTCCACATTCTCTGACAATCTTAACCTTCTCCTTACCACAGATTCTGACATGAATCAAGCCAACTCCGTTGTCTCAATAGCCCAACAGATACTCCAACCTCATACTTAATTCCTCTCTTGCAGGAAAGGCTATGGTCTTTCAAGAACCCCCAGTGAAGAACACTCACCATCACTTATAATGTCTGGTACCAAAAAGAAATTTCTCAGTTCTATAATTCCAACATCAACTTCTGACCGGAATCACTGAGGCTGCCACTTTCCTTTCACACGATGCTCAAATGACACTCTAACTTTGTGGCCCCATTTACTCCTAGTAGACTGGCCTCTGATCCCATTCACATTTTTAGGCAACTTTGGACATGATGGATAAAACTGACAAAACCTTGATCATTTGGACCTCAACACATGCACTAGGCAACATTGTACCTTCAGCCAATCCCATGATTTTCAAGAATGCCATGGTTACACTGCTGGAAAGAGAAGAATCACATAGTTTCATAACTTGTTGCTATTGCAAATTCATGAGCCCAACCTAAGCAATTCTTTTCGTGGTTATTTTCTGTGTTCCAATCAACTTTGGTGATTATTCTAGACTTCACTACCCATTACTGCTGTTGACCATATGCTATCGCCTACCTGATAATCCCCCACTAGAGAATGAAACTGATCACTTTCTCCTAGAAAACATTCCTTTTCTACTTTACAAATCAGAAATGCATACTATTCTGACCAACACTTTCTGGTGGAACTTTCTATATTGCTGAACAATATTCTATATCCATTCTGCCTCAAATGGTAACAACTAATAATATGAGACTAGTAAGCATTAAAAAAAAGTGCCTATGCAAAGGAGGAACTGAATCTGTCATTTCATGTAAATTTAAATAGACACACATGGCTACCATATTGAACACCATAATTTCCCAGATTTCCTTCTGTCACTTACAAGTCACAATCATAAATCATATGTAAGTCTGCCAATTTTATCTGGAAAACATCTGTTTCTGTGTTTTTCATCTCAAAGCCACTGCCCTATTTGAGCATGCCACTCACTCCCTTCTCAGTGTCTCCCAACCGTCCTCATGCTTCTCAGCTGATATTCGCCATGTTCCTACTTAATTAATTTTCTTAAATATTTTTTATTGGAAATGCAGATTTTCAGACAGAGGGAGAGACAGAGAGAAAGATCTTCCATCCACTGGTTCATTCTCTAAATAGCCATAACAGCTGGAGTTGAGTTGATCTGAAGCCAGGAGCCCGGTTTCTCACGCAGGTGTGCAGAGTACCAAAGCTTTGGGCCATCCTCCCGTGCTGTCCCACTTCATTAACAGGGAGCTAAAAGGAAAGTGGAGCAACTGGGACATGAACCAGTGCTCATATGGGATCCTGGCATGTTTGGGAAGATGACTAACCAATTGAACCATTGCACCCAACCCCTGACTTAATTTTGATGGCCTTATCTCATCTCTCGCTACTCTTATAATTAAAATTTTACATTCTCAAACTTTTACATGCTTACATTTCTCCAAACATATCTCATGCTATTCTATGTCTTGATCTTCTGCTTCCTTTATCTTTCTTATTTGGGTTATACTTAGTTCTGATACTGCCTCCTCCAGTAAATCTTCCTAAGCCCCCAAATAATGTTAAATACTTGCCTTCTGAGCTCCAAGAGTATCCCATACAGAGCTCAACTATTGCTACTGAACACAGTAACTGAACTGCCAGTGAGTGAACCAAGCTCTCCACTGCTCAGTGAGTATAAGTACTGTTTGGCACATTGATTAGCCATCTTACGTAGAGAATGTGCTCCTATCTGCCACAGAAGCAGTCAATGGTCACATGGCACCCAGATCACACAACTTCCAAACTTCATGCTCCCTGCCCCACCTTTTCTTGTCCTTTTTCCCTTCTTTCCAGTCAGAGTTTGGTTATGCAGAAGCCAGAAGTGGTGGTATCTTAGTTTCTGGGTACCAGAAGGAAATAAACATAACTTTAAAAAACATCCTCAGTTGAAATGTCATCCTACTCCTAACTAGTCCTTACACATCTACATGGTAGTAAAACACAGATCTATTACTGAGCCTTCAAAACTTACGGACTTCTTCACAATTTGAAACACTCGAATGATGAAGCATTCAAGTATCTGATAGTTCTCCAGGAAGATGCGAAATTGACTCAATTCCAAAGGCTTCTTCAAAGAAACAGGCCAGTAATGATGACATTTGATGGTTCCACCTTCTATCTCTCTGGTTATCATAGCTATAATATTAGCATTATTTTCCAAAATCATTTGCCAAAAGTCTTCCGTCGTTCCTGGCAGTGGTCCTTGGGCAGCAATATACAAATACTCTTCACCATAATTGACTATTCTAATATAACTAGCATTGATGTAGTCTTTGTTTTGTCCCAGAGGAACTCGTGTTGAATCATCTATTACAGAAACAGAAATATCTGGTAGACAAAGGAAGAACAGGAGATGCAGTACAATTCAGACTTCAGGAAAGCATTTCATACAGGTAAATCCATTATTTATCTCTTTGGTCAATAGAGGAGATGACATAAGAATATCTTCTCAAAAGGGTTATTTGAGTCTATGAGTTTAATTTTTTCCTTCAAAAACTTACTGATATACTCTAAGAAAACTATAGGGAAGTTCTTTTTTTAAAAAAGACAGTTTTATGAATTTATATGATGAATGAATCTATGAACTACTTCTTTAAGCATGGTAAAATGAAAATAAACTGCTTTGAATAAATTGTACATTAGGTAAATGATTCATCTAAAATATTATACAGTATAAATACAAAAACAAAGTCTGTAATTTGCAGCATTATGTAAAATTCACAACACAAAATCGTTTTGGAATGCATAGCTTATTATTAAATAAGTTATAACATTAAAAATTAGTAAAAATACTATTTGACCACTAAAAGCATAATAGAAAATTTAAAGATTCAAAAATAAGCTTTCTTTGAAATAACAGATTCTGACCTTGAATCAAATAGAATACCATTTTTAAAAACAAATTTTTATTTCAGAATAGTTCTAGATATGCACTAGCCTTTAATAAACAGAGAAGAAATCTGTATTCAGATACTTTGAGAAATTTGCCAAATGTGGTACAGTCAGGATTAGACTGAGAATCTACTAGTTTGCAACTGAGCACAGCAAAACATGAGCCCTTTGTGGTAGTAGATGAATGACATTCTCCCCCAAATCAGGGAATCATGCAAGGGAACTGTGACAGCTGATTGTAGAAAAATGCTAGGATGAAAGGAATTTCAAATACACACACACACACACACACACACACACACACACACACACACGCACACACACACACACACACACAGAGCCACCATCTTTTGTATCCACTTCAACCTTCACCTGGTGGAGTGCTGATCAAACTAAAGGTATTATGTGGTAAAAGCATTCAGTCAAGGGAACCTGCAGCACATGACAGAAGGCTCATTCACCTTGGACTGTCAGAGCAAATATAAAGGAAAACCTAGCTACTGGGCCACAAGCAACCTTCCCAGTCCAAGGACATGGAAATTGCGGTGGGCAGGGGGGTTGCTGTTCTTCCTTCCGCACACACACACACACAAACACACACACACTCTGAAGGAATGCATTCTCTTCCACCAAGCACCATCACCAATCAACATTCCTTACCACCCAGAACCACGCAACTACTTATCCGTAAACTATGACAGCAGCAGCACAATGAGACGTACACGATTTCTGACAGGACCTTCTCAAATTGCATCATAGCACAATCCCTTGCAAACAGGAATGGGAAAGGAGGGGCAAAATTGCCACGAATAGAAAGACACACAGTATCCCAAAAAGGGAAACCATTCTGAGAAATCACAGCAAATATTTTCCTTTTCATAAAAACGGGAGAACACATTTTAAGCAAAACTCAAAAGAACAGTATTTTATTATTTAATAGAATAATATGTACAGTTTACTGACAAATACATTACTGAATTATAAAGAAGGTAGTGATAGCATTAGTTGGGAACTTTCACTATATATAGTTATATATATAAAACATTTACCATATATATAGATACATATGTAATATTTATCAGTAATCACAATAAAACTGGAAAGTACTCATCAAAATGTCAGCAGTAACTATTTTATCATCTGAATAGTATGTTTTATTTCATAATGAGAAATTTTTTTAACTTTGAAGAGGGAGATTAAATGCATGAAAATTAAACAATCTGAAATAATAAAGGATTAATATACATTTTTAAAAGCCACATTTACTCAACCAAAACCTCTAAATGAGAAGTGATCAGAAAAAGAAAGACAGATATTTATAATACTAGCTTAAAGAATGCTCTCAGATCCAGCTGTAGGCAACTGCCTAGGTTACCTTGTACCTAGGCAAATGTTATAGATGATGGGCATTCTGGACCTGGATACTGCCAAATTTGTTTTAACTATACCAGTATGTCACCATAATTGCTTACTCTTTTTTTTTTCTTTTTTCTTTAAAGTTGCTGACCCAGGCCACTGTACTTACAAGTAAACAAAGGGGCTGAGAACAACTGGTTTGGAGGAAGAAAACTAGAGGAACTTTCTAGGTCATACCAATGCACCTGTCCACATGGGAGACCTGAACTGGGCTAGTTAACATAGACCACCGTCCACCAATGTACAAAAAAAACTAGGGCTGAGGGGGCCTGCCTGACAGGACTAATCCACAGTACCCACCCAGTGAATGTCAAGGCAGGGTAGTGGGTGACGTTAGGCTGGGCCATGACACTAACCAGCATGCAAGACCTAGGCATGGCAACAGAATTTGTGGGAGATTTATGTATTCTCCACTGTGGGAATATAATACCTATTTGTTTGCTTAAGAGCTGGGGATGGGGATGAGCCATGCATGACCACGAAACTCACCAACACTCATGGAAAACGGGTTTGGGAGCAGGACAGACTGGTCCAGGCTGCAGCACCCACAGACATACTCAAGAATTGGGTGTGGGCAAGCAGGGCTGCAGCATCCATCAGCACACACAAAGGCCAAGATTGGGGGATGAACTATGCCAGGTAGGGACCTAGCATCTGCTGACATGTATAAGATCTGGTTCTAGGAGTGGGCCCGTTGGGGGAACTTGGGGAACTTCCCTACTTGGCAGTAGCTCCCACTGGTGAGCATGTAAGTCAGAGCTGGGTAAGGCTGCTCCACTCGTTGACAGGTATGTGGGTTGACCCATCAGCATACCTGTGGGTCAGGTCTGGGGGTGGACCTTGTCTGGATCTGTTCATTGCATCAACTGGCAGGTGCAAGAGTCAAGATTGGATACAGGCCAGCCTGGGTTGGGATATAACACCTACAAGTTCACATTAGAGCTGGGACTGGGGACTGGTCAGGCTGCATTAGGCTTTAACACCCCCCAGCATGAGCTGGGACTGGGGGCAGGCTGAGCAGAGCCAGGCTGCAGCACTCACAGGCAAATGCCAAGGCACGATGGGTCATGCCAGACTGGGCCACAGAAGCAAACCTGGTAGAAAGGCTAAAGGGGCTCCCCTGCTGGGCCACTGCTCCTACTGGCGAACATGAGAGCTGGCACTGGGGCAGACTGGGCTGTGCAAGGCTGCAAAAACTCTTGGCATGCGTGTCAGCTGGATTTGGGGGAGAGCCAAACCACAGCATCTACTGGCACAAGAAAGAGCCAGGATAAATGTCAAGTGCAGGGACAGAGTGTGAGTTGTGTCAGACTGAACCACAGTACCCCTTGGAAAGTGCAGGACATGGGAATGGGCCTGGTAGGGAGACTGTGGACACTCCCCTGCTGGGCTGCAGCTCCTGCTGGAATGCATAAGAGCCAGGGCTGGGAGTGGACTGGGGTAGACAGGGCAACAGCACCCATTGGCATACATGTGGACTGATCATTGGGTTAGGTTAGCTGAGCTAAGCTGCAACACCCATAAATATATATGAGTGCCTGACTGGGAGGAGGCACAAAATGTTCTAGTACTGGCATGTGCAGGAATTGGGTTGAAGACAGGCTGGGTAGAGGTTATTTGGGGTTGTACCAACTAGGCTACATTTTCCATTGGTGTACACAAGGTCCAGTTCTGTGGCAGTCTGGGTTGGGCTAGGCCACAGCATCCATTGGTTTGCATACGACATGGGTCAGAGACAGAACTGACCAGGCAACCACAATCAGTGTGTGCATAGTCTGATGCAGGTAATGGGCTGAACTGGATCCTAAACTTGCTGGCACAGGCAGGAGTCAGGTCCAGGGTCACCCCAAGTGAGGTTTCTTGGGGGACTTCCCAAGTTGACCACTGGACTCAAAACTCCAACTATAGGGAAGACCGTAGGATTTGTGGTCCGACCTTGGAATGCATGTGTTGGGACTAAGCCTCCTTGACTCCTGATGCCTGTGCAGTAGATGGCATGCCCAGGTGCATATGGGGGACATGACAGCCAGCTCATCTGAACCTGAAGGTTGAGAACAGAACACGTTGGACAACTGTCCTAGCTGACTCTTAGCAACAAGTATCTGGGTGAGTAGTAGACACACTGGGGTAGATTCGGTCAGCTAATGGTCCTTGAAAGGATTTTCTCAGCCTTGGAGCAACAAAACCAACAGCATCTGAGAACTATCAAAACTACTCAAGCAACACTCTTGGAACGTTCCCCACATTAGCTGTCTAAGATGGGGTGAAGTAAACATGCCCCTGGGTACAGGGGTAGTTTGGCAGCTGAGAGCAGTCCCTTCCCCTCATCACCACCAACCTCCCTTGTCCCCAACTCCAGCCTAGTTATAGGAAAAAAGGAAAGAAAAGGAAAACTGGAAGCATTTATCCCACCCACTTTCCCCCAGGCCTTGACCCTCCCCACCCTAATCACTGGTCCTCATGGGCGTGCATCCTTGTCCACTATGTAAACATCAAAAATAAAATTATTTTTTTTAAAAAAGAGAACATCCTCAGAATTCAGGAAAATGTGAAAAAGATGAAAATGCTAAACGAATCATTAAAGTAATAACCAGAATATATCAAAGAAATTTCAGGAAAAAAAACTAAGATAAACACAGCAAGAAATAACCCAACTAATGATAGAAAAGCCTCCTAAACTAAAAAGATGATAATGGAATGCAATTCAAACATGCACAGCAGCTCCCTGCAGCCTGGAACTCTACATTCATTACCTTGTCAACCACAAAATAATTCTTTTCAGGAGGTTCTATTACATTCGCACTTTTCAAAGAAAGAAACTGCACTAAGTATCCATTTCCTGTTATGAAGCAATTCTTCTTGACTACAACCCAAGTAAATCTAGGCTTCATAACCCTCAATTAATTCCATGCTCTGCTGCTTCTCTGGAATAAACTCAAATGTGCAGACAGCCTAATTGGATGTCACATAACATTCATGAAAAGGCTAGTAGTAATATC